GCGCCCGACAGTGAAAATTTCTCCAAAAAAAAAAAAAAAATTAAATTAAAAAAAAAATATGGACATGTAAAACTCTATCTTGAAAATAAGAATAGATTTTACCTTATCTAGAGATAAAGAATGGGATATGGAATGGACATTCAGTTTTAATTTGGTTCACGAAATCTGTAAGGCCATAGAATAGGTAATATGAAAAGTTTCCATGATTCTATTTATATGTACATTAGAAAGAACTTCCAGGTGTTCCTGTAAGTTCTCAATGTATGGTTTGAGTAGTACTAATTTAATGCCAATATACTCTAATAAAGTTTTACATTGTAAAGCTATCACTATTTTTTGGGGATAGCTTTTCTTTGAGGTTTTTGATTTGACACATTGCATTTGATCTTTTATGCAGTAATTGAGATGTGCCAGGGCAATGATGGGTTGAAATCTACCCCCAAATCCAAGCCTATTGGGTGAATCTTGCTTGACCTTATAAAGTCAAATGATAGGCATTTTCTATCACCTCTTTTTATTAGACAAGGGCACCTGATTAATTTAGTTAAAATGTATTTTTTTAATGTTAAGTATTTTAAAAGAGTAGAATTGCATTGGCCTCAACTAACTTAAAATTATGCTTTCTATTTCTGCATATGTTGAATACTTTTTACATTTAAAAAGCTATCTGTTTTGAAGGTAGAATTACAAATCTTGAAATTAAAAAGCCAAATACGTGAAGGAGCCACAACTGTAAATCAAATATTTGGGATGTGAAGAATGGACGCTAACTTGCATAAAGTTCATAAAAGCTTTTTTTAGTCTTTCTGTAAATGTGTATATTTATTTTTAACCTATAGAACAGTATAGCCATATTTGGGACACTTTCTGTTATCAGTCAATATTTTTAGATAGAAGCTCAAGTGGATTTGATTCTGGAAAATAAATCTTTTATGACAGTCTCGACACAGAAACCTTTTAAAAAATACACTCCCCTGAAGTATTTTATTTGCATGGTCACACTGAAGGTTAGGTGCTGTTCCAGTATTTGGTATGGTCACAGGAGTCTTGATAACCAAAGCTGTTTTCTCCCATCTTTAGAAACTTACATGAGAACAACCAGATTGAACAGGTCTGAAGCAGCTGTGTGTGAATGAGCACTCTTTTTTTGCTTCATACCTGAATGCTGTACATTTATTTTAGATTGTATATTGTGTTTGTGTATTTATGCTCTGATTCTTAGTAACTTCTCACATTATGGAATTGATTTGCATCGAACACTGGAAATAAAGAGACATGAATGACTGAAAGAAAAAAACAAAAATGAAATATCTTTCTGAAAGTTTGCCTTTGTAGTGAATTCATTCATTCAAATTGTTTTCTCTCAAGACCCAAAAATGCAAGGGCATTGCCAGCTTTGAGTTTATCCTGAAAAAGAAAAAAGAGATTTTATGTTAAAGTGTTATTGGTTGTTTTTAAAGTGTTTCTCTGAGTGTCTTTATGAGGTTTTTAAAAATCAGCTCCCCAATGTGACAGAAAAATATTAACAGGTTAGTACAGTGAATCTCTTACCCAAATCCTCTTGTCACACTATGTGAAATCTATATCCAAAACTTGATCGTGGGAGGAAAACTATCCTAGGGAAACACCTTCTTTAGAAATCTTTAGCGAACCCTCCAGTGGGTCTTAAGAACCATTTGGAGGCAAATACGGGGGAAGAAAATTACAGTTTAGGTCTGTGGGACAAGAGGGCTGAAAACAGTGGCAGCTGGAGCTTCTAGGGATGTTATCCTTTCACATGGCCCTGGATAAAAGGTAAGCTCTTTCAGAGCAAGAGAAGTGAGCTATTGATGTGGTCTGCTGACCCTTAGGTCTGCTGACCCTTATCTAGATGAAGGGTCTCAGGTGAAGGTAGAAATCTGTATATCCCATAAGTTTCACAGAATAGGAAGACTTTCCAATTTTGCTCCACTTACTTCTCAGCCATAGGCTGTATCAATCTGCAGAAAGAAGTGATTTGAGGAGTCACTGTGATACCCTGCTGATTCATGTCTAATGTACAAAGGACAAGCATAGAGCTGAAGGTGGAAGGAAGGTTGTTTAACATCTTGCATCATTAATGTACACACACACACACACACACACACACACACACACATATATATATGTCATGACTACTACAGGTTGTTTAACATCCCGAACCATTAATGTATATGTTTATTTATATGACTACTTCAGGGTTCTTACACAGCCTTGAAGGGTAGGTACTCTGGGTTCTTCTCGGAAGTATACTTGACTCTCCTCTTCTAGAGAAAGATTTCAGAAGTGACTGTTGCTGCTGCGAGAAGCTATTTGCTTTACCTTTTAAAATAAGTTGGTATCCAGTATTCTTTGAAGGAGATACCCCTTTGGTGTGTTGGAGGGAGACCCGATCCTTGAGACAGTGGATGTGGGGCGGCATCCCTGTGCTGTACCCGAACAGTTACACTGCCTTTGGCAAATCTCTCAACCCCTGAGTCTTGTTTTCTCCCTGCACATCTTCATGGTGGAGCACATCTGCCTGAATACCTCTCAGTGTTGTGTACATCAAGTGGATTTACTTATCTTACTTTAAATTTCTTTAGCAGTAGTTACCATTGAATAGTTTTAAACTTGGAAGGTCTAAGATGAATACTTCTACCTCTGCCATTCTAAACCACGTTCCCCCACCCCCAGAGACAGCAGTTTCTAATATGCAAGTATATATTATTACAGTATACTTTTTTAAAGTTCTATTTCTTGACTTTAGGTTGACTTTCAGTTTTGTTTTTTTTTTTGAGAGGTTTTTGCTATAGGGCTTGCCAGACAGAGAGAGACAGAGAGATGGAAAGTGAGAAATCACCCCCCAGAGGGGATGGCCACACTGCAATCCCTTCTCCTCCATTCTCCTCTCGGGATTTTGGGCATGCACGCACATGTGCCCGGCATGAGTTTAAACCACCAGGTCCGGGACTCGAACCGCAGTCGACTACATGGGAGTCCAGTGACTTAGCCATTATGCTAACTGCTGGTCCTGACTTTCAGTTCTTTTTTTGAGAGAGATTTTTGCTATAGGGCATGCACGCTCTCTGGAGAAACAGTGACACAAAACGCTAGAAATCAGTCCCTAGGCAGGATGGCCACACTACAATCCCTTCTCCATTCTCCTCCTGGGATCTTGGTCTCACATGTGCATGCACCTGGTGTGTTTCAAGCAGCCAGTCTAGGACTCCAACCTTGATCAACCATGTGGGAGTTCAGAGCCTTAACCACTACACCACCTGCTGGCCCCAAGTTTCAACTTTTTATTTTATTTTATTTTTTTTTTTTGGTCTGTTAATAGCTTGGCTATTTCTGGAGCTAAAGTAATTGTTCTGGGAATATTAGTGGTAAAAATTCTTCTATTCTTCCTTGTCATATCAAAGAATATTGAAGAGTATCAGTGTCCTGAAACCAAACCCATTTAGAATAGAAGGACTTAGGAAAAAAACCTGTAAGGTAAAATGTACATGCCTTTGTTTCTTCATCGAATTCTTTCATGGACTCAATCAACTTCCCAGGTTCCAGCTCACCTAGTGGAAAGGGGTAATCAGTTCCCAAAATGACTTTATCCTGAAAGATGAAAAGGTATTTTATTTGTAATCTTGTAGAACATCAAACTTAATTATAATTGCTTATTATATACACACCAATAGTAAAATAAATTTCTTCCTGATTAGTAAAAACATAAAACTGGTTTAAAATTTTAAAGATATAATCGTTCAAAATTCATTCTAACTTTTTTCCAGCAGATGTCACTATTAGGTCTGTTAAAGTTGAAAATCAATCCTTTTCCTCCTGCTTTAAAAAGAAAAGTAATACAGAATATTGAAACATAAGAAATAGGTATTTACTTAGTAAATAATGATGTATCCAGATGAAATGAAGCATTCTTTCTTAGAAATACCAAAATTAATTAGTAATTAAAATATACTACAGTTGGGAAGAAAAAAAACAAAAAATTGTCTTAAGAAGTAAAAAAAGGTCCAGCTCATGGCACGGTGGTTAAGGTGACTGGACCCACATGGCCAAATACTCTGTTGGAGTCTTGGACCTGGAGGTTTGAGAAACATTCTAGCTGAATGTGTGTGCGTGCCTAGAGTCCTGAAAGAAGGGAGAAACGGAGGAGAAGGGATTGCATAGTGACCATGCCCCATGGACAGTGCTTTCTCACCATCTGTCTGTCTCCTGTCTCCTAGCAAATGTACATACCCTCTGGAAAAATTAAAAAACAAAACAAAACTAAACTAAACACCTACACACATACACAAAAAATTTAAAAAGCCACAACAAAAAAACTCCAAAAGTAGTCCCATCTCTATAAACAGGATCATGTTTTTTTGGAATACTATGGCTTCAGATTTCTATCTGATACCTAGTATATCAAAGCACACTGATTCAGTCTACAAACATACTAAGTAGAATGTCAGGCAATGTGTTGGAATTGAGATATATCTTCTTTTTTAAGAATTAATTTAATTTATTCATTCTTTTCTTTCTTTCTTTCTTTCTTTCTTTCTTTCTTTCTTTCTTTCTTTCTTTCTTTTTCTTTTTTTTGAGAGGTTTTTGCTATAGGGCACATGTGCTTGCCAGAAAGACAGAGACAGAGAGACAGAAAGCAAGAAATCACCCGCCGGGGGGATGGCCACGCCGCAATCCCTTCTCCATTCTTCTCTCGAGATCTTGGGCATGCAAGCACATGCACCCAGCATGGGTTGAAGTCATCGGGTCTGGGCCTCAAACTGCGGTCCACTACACAGAAGTCCAGCGACATAGCCATTACGCCAACTGCTGGGCCCTATTCATTTATTTTAATTTGACCAGAGAGATACACACACACACACACACACACAGAGAGAGAGAGAGAAAGTGAGAAAGGAAGTCATCAGGTCCAGGACTTGAACCATGGTCACTATGTGGGAGTGTCCAGAGCCTTAACCACCATGCCACCTGCTGGTCTCCTAGAATTGAGATATATCTTGGGCAACAAAATAGTCACTGTTCCTGTTTGCAGGGAATTTATAATCTAGTGAGAAAGACATTAAATGAATAATGGCAATTTATCAGAATTAAATAAGCAAAACATATTTGGAACAGAAATTTTGCTTCTAAGAATGTATCTCACTCACAAACTTGGACCAGAAATATATACAAGGAAATAAATTGCAACATTGTTTGTAATAGAAAAAGACTAGCCAACTAAATTATGGAATATCCAAAAATAAACAGGAATACTTACATACGTCAAAATGGAATAATCTCTAAGTTACATTATGTAGAGGAATGATCACAAAGTTTTATTATAAAAAAGAACACAAGGGGACCAGCAGATGGTGTGGTAGTTAAAGCCCTGGACACTCCCACATGGCCAACTGTGGTTCGAGTCTCAGACCTGGTGGTTTGCTTTCTCACATTCTCTCTCTCTCTCTAGCTCTCTCTCTGGTCAAATTAAAAATAAATAAATGAATAAATAGTTAAGTAAATAATTCTAAAAAAAAGAACACAGAACTTCAAAGCAATGTGTACTATGCTCATATTTATTTATTAATTTTTAATTAAATTAAAAATATTTTATTTTATTTATTCATTTGTTTTTAATTTAACTAGAGAGAGAGAGAGCGGCCCAGTGCGCAAGCAAGCCACATGGCAGGGTCATAA